TACATCCAAATGGGTCACAGACATCAATGCAGTATTATATGGGGAGAAAAAGGGAATGAAATGCTTTTAACATGAAAAATATGCTGTTGCATGTAGGCCAACTTTTGTTCTCTTTCTCTCAATTTATCTAGGATTTGGGTGGGTTTAATTCTAGGGCCAAATTCAGTACTGGCATAAGTGAGCACAGCTCCATTAGTGTGAATGGACTCTCAACGTTTAAGTCAACAGTGAACTTAGATCATTGAATTTTTCCCATGTTTGGGCTTGCATGTTTCCAGCAAGATAATATACATATGTACTGCACATATGCTGCACATATGCACATAAAAATTCACTGGGGAGGACGTTTGGCTCTATGCTTTTTGACTTTATGTATAGAAACTGCAATCAGCTTATGAATTTTTTGCTTCTCCTGTAGCTAATGTGCCATGCATCTGTAAGGATCAGCCGTGCAGAATGCCACGTTGCAAGTAAAATACCTAGTAGCAAAGGCAAGCATGAAAATTGCTTTTCTTTCCTCAGTCTGTAGGACTGCACATGCACACAAATCTATGTGATTAATTCAGAGAGATTTTTCTCCCCTCTGTTATCATGAAGTTGAACACTGCCTTGAACAGAGGGGTACGTAGAAATACTACAGATGCTTATCTTTGGAGTGAATTGTAATATTTACTCAGCTGCAGGCCTCAAGTTTAGTGTATGCCATGAGGTCTGCTTGCCTCTTAGTGCCTGAAGAGTAGCAAGGCCAAGGCAGGGATGTCTCATTCTCTGCGATGCTTCCTGCAGCATTTGGGGTGTTGGTCTGGTCATCAGGTTTGAGAAAGATGCGAGTGTTGCACTTTCCTAGGATCACCATAGCTTAGGTGTCCTGAATATAAAGCAAGACCCAACTGCGTTGGGAGCACAAAGCTGACAGATGATCTCTACCCCAAACTTTTACCACAAACGTAAGGCAAAGGTGACAGGCACACACGGGTAAGGAGTTGTGTGAACTAGTCAAAGGTTATTGGCCATCCAGAGGCCAGGTGTCCTCAACACGTGAGGAGCCCACATTTGTGGGCACCATATACTTCCCCCCTGTATTTAAAGGCTGTGGTAATCTTTTCTTTCTTTCTTTGTTTTTTAGATTGAAAGGCCTTGGTATATCCTAAGAGTGACTTTTCCAATGTGCCTTCTGCCCAGCAAAATGGGGTGTCCTTGTATTCTCAGTATCAAAAGAGCTAAATAACGTTTGTGGTGAGAAGCAGAGGACACTGGCCTATGGGACAGTACGAAATGGGATTGCTAGAAAGAAAAGTAAGGTTCTGCCCACATATAAAACTTGACCCTTCTCTGCGAACATTATCCCTGTGAATAATTAGAAATCTGCATTCAGGCTTCCCACTGTGTCCCATCCCTTAAGGACACACCCGCTGTATTGCTTTACACGGTGCGGCAATGCACAGCGAGATTTACATATATATCACATAAAAGTGTTTACAAAAAAAATTAGCATGTGATTGAGCTGGAAAGCTGCAGAGGGCCCCAACTGTACGAGTTTCCATGCGCTTCAGCCAGAAGATTTATTTCCAATTTGTTATTCATAAGGGAAGAGTGAGAGATTGGGATGGGGTCCTTTGAAGTGGAAAACAAAGTCTTCTATTCAGCCTTCAGCTTAATAGAATACACATGACACAGGCTTGGCATGGCGGCCCGCTTTCATGTAATGTGCTCCTTGTCATTTTGCTTTCCTAGGCTGTGAATACTAGTGGGAATGGGTATTGCCCTGGAAAAGTCTCATTATCTCCTGCTGCCTTCTGCAGGAGGAGCACACTGTAAGCAGGTAGGAGCCATTTGGTGGCAGTAGTGGGGAAACCAGGCTCATCCAATTGTTGCAGTTGTGTTGCTCATAATTCCCAGTTTATGTTTTATATTGAAAGAGCATGTGTAGGAAAAGCAGTGTAATTGCAGGGCTTCTGCAGGCGTTACGCAGGCACTTCTGCCCTGTTTGGAGGCCCCAAGCAGCGAGCAGTGGCCCATGGGCTCTGAGCCTGCCTCTGACACCAGTCTTCTGCATGACCTGAGCTTTCGCTGTTATCCCCCTGTCTAGAAGTGACTGAGGGAAGGCTTTTCTGAATTGGTGCAGCATCTAGGATGGCGGAGCATGATCTAGGCACTGTATCACTGCAAATAACCAGCGATTCTGTCCAAAGTTGATGTTTTGGGGGTATGTGTACAAACCCAGAATTTCAAGAATGCAGCCCCAGTTTTACAGTGATGTTGTTATTACCTGTATCTACAAGCCTCTAAGAGCTTCTGTGCTTTTCCCTTTGTGAGTAGTATTAAAACCATGCTTGGTGCCGTACTAAGGTGGGTGTTTTTGAAGAACTTAACAAGCCCAATGTACCACAAAGCCCTGTCAATTAGTGGGTCTGTGGGCTATGAGAAAAAACATGTGTGACCTTCAGCACATCAGCTTGGCCTGCAGCGTGAGTGTGGTTAGAAAGAATTTGGACCGGAGTCCTGCTGGTCCTCTTGGCCCTGTAACACTTGCCTCTCTCGGCTTCCTCTGGGATCACGTCCTCGCGCCCCTTTTGCACGTTCAGGTTTGGAGCTCTGGGTGAATCACCGAAATCAGAGATGGAAAGAAATGCATGAAGTCATCTCATCCTGCCCTTGCCAACGCAGGATTATTCCCCACAGTACAGTCTTGAGTGCCTTCTCTGGTCTATTTTTAAATGACTCAAAGGAGAGGGCTTTCCTCTCCTCCCTGGGGAGGCTGGCTCTGCTGTTCAGTAGACCTCACTGTTGGGGAATTTTCTTCCTGTTCTCCAGCCTCAATTCTCCTTTTCCCTAATTTAATTGAACTGTTCCTGGCTCCACCCTTCTAAACAATTTTCCGTATTGCATGACTGTTGCAAATACCTGTTGTCAATTTGCAGGCATAACGGATGGGAATTCATTGCTGTTTGCCTTGCTTGGCAAAGGCTCTGTGTGCAGAACTGTACTGGGAAGCCAGGCTCTATCAGCAACTAGATTTCTGAGCTACATGCCAACAAATAAGAATGACCTTTTCCTACTTCTTTGGACAATGCCATTATCATAAAACCCCCAGCATGACTGAGAATTGGCTGGGCTTCTGGCAAAGCCATGAATGTCTCTATTAAAGTGCTGGTTTTCCTCATAGTCCTCCAGCAGATCTTCCATAGTGCTTTTTGCATGACAGAAGTTACTGTTCTGAGTTCTCGGGTTTAGTTGTAGATGTATACACATTTGGGGAACATTTAATTAAAAAATACAGTAATTATTGTTTTATCACGTGGCTCCAGCAGTTGAATTTCTAAACCCTGACTTTCAATTTGAGATTTCTTAAGCACCTGAAGTGTTTTGAAAATGGCTATTGAAGGTGGGATTTATGCTTTGACAATACCTAGATGCTTTGGAGCGTAGCACCCTTTGTCTTTGGGGGTGTGTGTCCCTCATCCAGCAGGACCGACTCGCAAGAAAACTATGTGTCCAAAGAGTGTAAGTTACTCAGGAAAAGCATCTTATGGGTTTGAAGAATTATGAATCCCTATTTATTTATTTAGAAGACAAAAATCAGTTTCTGCTGTGGGTGACAGCAGAATAGAAGCCCATACTGAAAGCACCAGGAAAAGAATGGCTAGCATTAAAGGGACTGAAATACCTTTAGTGCTTTCGTACAGCAGAGCTGCAGCTATTTAGCTATGGCAGGATACCAAACTACATTGTGGCTGGCCATTGTTGCTTGAACAGTTTGATTTTTAAAACATTCAGCTGAAATGTAACCAGCAGCCAAGTTGGAAGAAGTGAGTCACAAGGACAGTGTGTTAAATGAAGAGTCAGCAAATGAGGGAAACGAGTTCTTGTGCCCTGGTGGAAAGTGGCTGTACTGCAGACCGGGAGCCCAAGAGCAGTATCTCAGCCTAGCACAGCTATTGGGTTACTTTCAAGAAAATTTTATAGTCTAGAAGTAACATGGCTTTAAAAAGAATGAGATAGTGCCACAGCTATAAAATAAAATTACTGATTTCTCTGCGGTAGGCCTCAGAAGGGCCATGGATTCCATCCCTTTTTGCTCTGCACTGGTCCTTGCATCATAAACCAGAAACTTCTCCTCCAGAGAACTTCCAGTGTTAAGCATTTCAGGAGATGGGAAAGGGGTGGTGGAGCAGGGTGGAGGAGGAGAGAACAAAGTGACCGTAGCTGGCATAATAAAAACCATCCCGGCACTCATTGGCCTTTGTTGCTGATACCGATCTGACTCATCAAACTGTTTGACGTGATTCTTGATACGTGTTTTTTAGAAGGCACCGTTCTTGTTGGTGTTTTTAAACGTGCATGTTTAAATGATGCTGTGAGTTAAATGGATTGGAGCATGGTGTGTGGGAGCACTGGAGAGGAGAAGGGTGTGTGGTCCCTAATGACGCCAAGTGAAAAACAGAGACACACCTGTTTTGGGATATAATGGGAGTGATAAGAGTAATTTCTTAATGATGGGGCTTTTTTGGGAGTGCAAGGGGAAGGGTGGGTTTAAGAAATGTAGCAGGGGCAAACAGGACTTCTATCTTGCTGTGCTGGGGACTGTTCATTTTAAATGGGAGTGTTTGGTACATCTGGGCTGAACTGATACTGGTTCTTGCATGCCGCTTCCCCCCCCCCCCCCCAGTTTTTGTTTTGCTCTCCACTGTTTTATCTGCCAAAAAGAAAATAAATTCACAAAATACTTGCAAAGTTGCATGGTCACAGGCTTAAATACATACATATGAAATCCCTGAAAGCAATTTGCTTCAAGCCCTCCTCAGTTCCAGACATCTTTCTCACTCCATCTGCTCGTTCAAGTACACAAGTTCCTTGGGAAAAATCACTTATTACATCACTGAAAAATGCCACAAAAATAGCTTTTCATTTAAGTTCCCATCCTCGGAGTTAAGTCACATGGGGATCAGATAGATTCAAACATTTAATAACTTTTTATTTTCCTTTCTCTTTAAACACAGGATCTCTGGTCGTGGAAGCAGGGTCACGTGGTGGATTCTTGGCAGTCAGCAGTCTGTGGAGCTTTTGCAGGTGCAAAGGATTATATGTTATACTGGGAAAGACTAAAGAAGAAAGGGAAAAATGTGCAAATCTATTAAGTATAGCAGAACAACATTCCTTTGTAATTCAAGTTTGTTTAGAAGAAAATGGATCCAGTTGTCTGGAAATAGGAAAGTCAGCAAAGGAAAGAGAAGGGAAAAAGACTCAAACAGGGTGTCTGTTTGAAAGACAACCAATTTGTTTTTGACAAATTTCTGTTATTTAAAAACCAGGGGCCTGTCAGTCAGGCTTTGCGATTATTTCAAAGTTGATTTGTAAAATCCTCATCCAGGAGAAACTTTGCTTGGGTGGGGGTTTGTGCAGCTGTCTGCTCCGAGCACTTCCCCAGGGGTTGAAGTGATTGCAGCGAGAGGCCATGATTCACCATTCATGTGACAGCTCTGACAGCCATGTAGATTAACTAGAGTCAGGAGAGCAGAGGCTAGCACTGCACAGCCTGGAGGCAAAAGCCTTCCGCAGCAAAAAAAAAACCGGAGGACGAAACATCTGGGCAATCTCCAGACACTAGAACAAGAATCAAGAGTGGCAGAATACAATACTGCACTATTTATTACCAAACAAGCCAGAAGTTAATTGAATTCTTCAGTAGGCGTCTTGCTTGATTTTAGCCTACTGTAGTTGTTTCAAAAAAAAAAAAAAGAAAAAAAAGAAAAAAATCCATTGATGACTCATCAGTATAGCTGACAAGTTTGAGGGAGGAGAGATGTTTTAATAGAAGAAACAGATTAGTAGTTAAGAGATGGATAGCCAGAGCTTTTCCCCAAGGAGCTAAAATACATTTTGAGATTCCAAACCAGTAACAGAATATGTGGAAAACAAATCCTGTTTAAAGAGAAATTATAGCATTTCTTGAAATAGAGATTATCAAAAGCAAAGTTGTTCTTTGATGACTTACAAAATCAGAGCCATTACATCGTATGTAATTTTTAAAAAATAAGCTCTGTTAGGGGAATTGAAGTATTAATAGCAGCAGAATTCCAGCAGAGACTGAGGCTTTGTTTTGGTGGGCGCTGTAACTGCACGACCGAGAGAGGGTGCGTGGCTGTAACTGCACACAGTTTAGTAGATTGGGTATGTGAGCTGTGAGGGAATGGTTTAGGTGGAATTGATTCCATTTTGGGGCAGGGAGGATATTTTAGACGAGCTCTTGTGGTCTTGTCCAGCTGTATTTTCTATGTTTATGTGATGGGAAGGGAGTTTTATTCTGCCTAAAATTTGGTCTACTGTTGGATTTTACACTGACTTCATCAAATCAGTGCAAACAAAATCAGAGCGATTGAAGCAGATCGTTCATTTCTGTTTTGAAACAAAACAAGCTATCAGACTAAAAATGCTTTAAAATGCAATCTGTACAGCTGCAGGTGTGATAAGGGATCATTAATTTAGCTCTGTTGATTTCTTTACAGTCAGATTGATAAAAAAACTGTGTTCAGGCATGTTCAGAGAGCTGGAAAGGTTATCTGATTTACCCAAGGCCTTGCGGAGTAATTTCCTGAAGTCCAATTTGGTGCCTCAGTTGGAAATTTAGCCCAGTGCCTTCATTTCCTTCTCTGTACATCTTGATTCTGACCAGTTGTGCTTGGACTTGCTACTCATTGATGGATGTTCAGTAGTGTCTGCTCGCTTTCTAGCAGAAATGTTGCAGAAGGAGCTTCCAGAGGCACAGCTGAACGGTGGGTGAACGATTCACTGCCCTTTTGGCAGATGCTGGGGAGACCTAACACTTTGTGCTGAAGGAGACAGCGGGTCCTCTGTGGAACAGAACAGAGACTTCCAGGTTCATGATGGTAGTAGATGAGGCAGTTCAGCCTGGCTGTCTTCACAGGCTCTAGTCCCCAAGCATAAATCTTTGCAGAGCTGGAGTGCTATTTTGTAATCGTGTTGTAATTGGTGATGATATATGTTCTCTGGGTTATCCTTCCATCTTCACTTCCTCCAGCCTGATTTTCCTTCTTTGTTCTTTCTTATCCCAGTCTTTCCTTTTCACCAGCAGTATTTTAACCTTCTTCTTCCATGTCTCCTTCGAGGACCTGCTTGAAAATTCACAAGGTTCAACCCTTTTTGGATCAGAACCTTACCCTTTGGTCTTCATTGCCTACCTCTGCAGACATGTAACAGGCAGGCCCTGTACTGATCTAATCCAGTACTGCATCCATTCTGTTTCAGTGAAAATATTTAGCCTTCTTGCTGAATGGAGGCAATGGAAAAATAATTTCCTGCTTTCTGAAGAATGGATTCCATGGTTAAAAAATTATTAACTACCTACATATAGCTTCAAACGAAGAAAGAAAAAACAGACCAAACTCTTTATCCCTTTCTTTCCACCCCAAAACAAAAAAATCAAAACCTCACCAGTACCCTGTGAATAAAATAAGATGGATGTGTGCATCCGAGTGATTTAAAATCATCACGTTATAAACCTTAAAAGGAAAAGATTATCCAAAACCCAACTTTTAAACACAGAGATGCTGTCAAATGCCACCATGGTAGTCGTGGGATGGCGAAATCACACAGACCTGCTTTTCTCCTGTGTTCTTTGCTTGAATTCAATACTTTCTAAAAATACGTTAGAGGTCCTGAGGGGCAGGGTAATAAACTGAAACAAACTGAAAGAAAAGTCCTGTTTGGCTTCCCTTTATGGCACACAGACACATATATTTGTGTGTCTGTGTGCGTTGGTTAGTTCCTAGCTAAATCGTAACTGACTATTTGGCGAAGACAGAACAAAGAGCAACAATATATGCATTCCATCCCCAGTGCCTGTGAAACGGCAGCGATATCAGCCAAAGTGCTGTGAGAGGCCCGACTCTTCCTTGTTGAGCACACATGTGTAAGATGTATGTATGCGATCCATGGGCTTTTTATAGAAACGTAATAACCATGAGGATAAATATCAGAGATTTGGAATCCTCTCTGTGTCATCTGTTAATAATTTAATCCCTGGAGGCCTTGTCCAGCTTTATCATCATCTCTGGTGTCTTAACTAGAGGAAATGTTTGGAGCAGTCGGGGAGTGAGAGAAGGTGATATCTGAGCAGCCGGTGGGGAGGAACCCAAGGGTAGATCTACATGATATTTTAAGCCTGAGGTTGCATTGGAACCAAACCTTGCCTCATGCCTGAGCTGTTTGGACACCAGCCCAGATTTGGGCACAGGCTTTGGCAGGCTGGCGGCAGAGGAGGGAAGCGTGTGCCCATGCTGTGGGCAAGCCAGGCGTGATTGTGGTTGCACTCCATGCTCATGTCTTCTCTGGGCTTAGGCTGCCTGGCTGGACCACTGCACCCCAGCCCTGCACCGTACCAGGGCAGGCTGTCCCAGAAGAGCCTCTCGGTGGTTTTCGTATGCCCTCCGTGGAACTGGGCCAGTGGCAAGGAAATCCTGCCATTGGGCGCTGGCTGTTGGGAAAGCAAAGTGCTGCCCTGGAGCAGGGAGGCAGCTCCAGCTTGTCAAAGAACCTGAGTGTCCATTTAATGCAATTGAAAATTGCCTCTGTTAAAGATGCCTTCTTTCTCCCTACTGTAAAAAAAAAAAGTGTGGCTTAACATTAATAATTAATGCTTTGCGGTGACAAAGTCGCCGAGAATGGAGGTGCAAGCCTAGTGAATAATAAAGCACTAACGAGAGCTTTTTGCACATTGACAGGGAAGACTTCCCATCACTTTTGTTTTGATCTAATCGGCTCTGACAAGATTACACACTGTGTCTAAAAGCCTCTTTAACTCTATAGCTCTGAATAAATTTTTGAGTAGTTCTCAAGATTTCCCTGCAGTGTCTGCTTGGACCATGCTTCTAACCCTGAGTTGGTTAAATTGCTGGAGGAGCAGTGCTTTGCCTCTTGGTATTTCTGCTGAAATCTGAAGAGGTTCTTGGGTCATTTTGCTCTACCATTGGCAGGTCTTGTTCCCACAGTGATAAAGGACCAGAATAAACTTCCTCTTAAAAAAAATAAACATAATATCAATAAAATAAAAGATCAATTAAGAAGTGATTGATTGAAGAGTTCTGAAAAAGAACGTTTGTGAATTTGGAAATCAATCGGTGTAAGAGGATGCCATGAGGTTTAGTGTTGGACCTATGCGACTCAATTTTTCGACCCGGATTTGGGATTCAATCCTGAATCAGCCCTGGGTAACATTCAGATGTCAGTACAGAAAATAGTAAGAAGACGACAGGCAATAATATAGCTCAATCTGGATTTTTTTTTCTTTTCCTAAGGTGTGCCAATTCATGCAAGGACATTAGTCAAGCACAAGTTCCTATCTCTTGAAACAAGCTTGACCTACCGAACTGGGCTGGTGTTGCAGAAGAGAGTGCCAGGCGTCTGGCCAGATGGCAGAAACACAGAATCAGGAGGAGCCCCTGTGATGGCCAGAAGGGTTCCCTGGACCCTTTAGAAAGGGTGAGGAGAAGTTAAAATGGTACAGAAAAAAAAAAGATACGGGGTCTGAAGAAGAATTTGTCTTCCTCCTTTCATAGGATCTTATTTGAGGAGTGTGTCAAAGAACCTGTGAAACATTTTGCTATAGCAGCAGCAAATTCTGCAGGCAGCCACCGTACTGCGAGGACCTAGGGTTATGTATTGTTCTCAGGTGAAGTATTTCACTCTGTTTTGATGCTTCTCAATTTTTATTTTCATATGACAGCTAAAAAGGGTAGGAAGTGCCAGCAGGAACCTAAGGGAATATTTTAAGTCTTCAGGACTTTTTATTCTGATGCCAAATAAAGGTAAAGCATTCTCTGCAGATGTCTGTCACTAGTGCTTCCATTAAGAACTGGTCACTGGGAAGGTGTGAGTGGCAGAGGGATTTTCTGTTTAACACCCTGAGGTTGGTAACGTTTAGCTGCTCCACTGACGTGTGAATATACAGTGTCCATTGTAACTTCTTGGGAGACAGGTTATGAATTTTCCACTACTGCGTGAAGTTTTATTTTCCCAATAGAGGAGTTTGTCACTCTGCTAGAAGTATTAACAAGCCAAGAGCCTTCTCCCATGTGAAAATCCATCTTTATGCCTACTTGCTTAGCCTAAGTCATCACCAGATCCTTCTAGGGCAAGGGAGAAAGGAGCCTTCTCCAGGAGTCGGTTTGGTGAGGCTGTCTGTCCAGGTGCAGACTGCCTGCAAAGGTGCCTTTTTCTCTGTCAGTTCTGCAGAGAAGCTGGAATGATTAGGAGTGTAAGGCTGGATGTGTCTGGGCCTTTCTTGCCCACCCGGTAACTTTCATACTTGCTTTTCCTGGTCGCTAACTAGTTGAGCAGACTCCAGCTTTATGTGGCAGCTCTTGGAGAATTCTGTGACAGCACGAATAGACTAA